ACAAGTTACTAAATCATAGAGAAAGAATTTCTCTATGATCCAATCAGAAACTCTAAAAGTATGGGGTGACTTACTTGAGACACACCCCCATTACCTAAAGTATAATAGGCAAACACCCCCATATCACTGAGTCAGGAATCAGTAGTCAGTAGTCAGTGATCAGTAGTCAGTAATCAGTAGTCAGTAGTAGTCAGTAGTCAGTAGTTAGATTCAACACAGAAGAAAAGTACAGGGCTGAGCTGACTCCACTCTAAAAGGGTTCTCTAACATCTGAAACCTGGAGTTTAGCTGATTGTAACCATGTACAGTTTATGAGAATAAAAGTTTGCAGTGTACTAAAAGGAACTGTGTCATACTACTCATTAAAAGTCGACAGCAACTAACCGATATTTAACATTAACTCAAGCCTGGCTTATCTCCAAGTCTGAATGTAGCCTCAGGCCTTCCAACAAGGCGTCAGTGGCCTCACTAAGGCTACGTTCAGACTTGAAGATAAACCAGGCTTACGTTAAGCCTGGCTCAAGGTTAAGCCCGGCTTAAATTTGCCGGGCGTTCAGACTAGCGAGATTAGCCAGGCACGAGAATTAGCATAACGAACCGTAACCAGGAAATGAGTTTCGAAACATTGGGCTCGAAACGTACGCTCGCTCACAGCGTACGTAATTTAATGCTGATTGGCCATTTTTTTTTACCGGAAGTCAATGCAAGTCCCCCCGCAGCGATTAAAGCCCGGCTTAGAAAAGTTAAACACGGTGGCACGCCAGGCCTAGTTACTATAGGAACACAGCCCGGCTTGAGATAATCCACCTAGTTCAGACTGGCAGGTGGATAAACCCGGTGAGTTGAGCCGGGTTTATCCACCTAGTCTGAACTAGGCCTCAGTGACGTATCAGTTTGGACAAGTTTCTTTTGGCATTTGTACAAATTATTGTTAAAAATAACGATTCTTGCAATACTTTTTTAATAATAAATATAACTTTAGCGTAATGATTATTTTTCAAATCATCTAACCACTTGACGTGACTGTTTATGCAGTTTAAAAACGCGCCCAGCGAAGTTTTTTGCGTTGTTAGTGATCGATGTCACTATAACCATGCTATAATAACGCGACTTCGCTCGTGCTTTTGTAAACTGCATAAACAGTCGCGCCGAGTGGTTAGATGATTTTTTTTTTAAATGGTTTCGTTAAATTGAAATTTATTATTGGAAAGTATAAATCGTTATTTTTAACAATAATTTAAACAAATGCCAAAAGAATCTTGTCTGAACACGTCAATGGTTTACTGTGTGCGCCATCTATAGATATGATCGAAGAATATGGACATTCTATACTCTTTGCTAGGATTAACTCAACTGGAATGGCTCAAGTATCATTCTAAGGGTATGCCTTTCAAAACATTTCAGTTTATTGGTTTTATATTATTTATTTTAATCGACTACACCAAGTGAAAAAGATTTTTAAAATAGGCCTATATCTCAATGCAGTTAAGGCCTATATATTGACAGTTAAAAAAAACTTTTCGAGAGCCATTTCTGGGCATCTGAGGTAACTATTTTTAACGAACATAGGCCTATGTATTTTTTGCTTATGATCCCTATTCCTAAATTTTATGTACGCTTTATTCACTTATTTCATCAAATAATATAGTACAGTAGTAGTAGTATAGAGTTCGTCGTCTACCTCCAATGCATTTCCTATATTAATATTATAATAACACTATTTATTATAATATGGTACATAAAAGTCAACTCGTTCGTGAGGATATGAAATAAATATGCGTTCGTAAAAAAAACCATATATTTTTAACATTTTTTCACCTACGCCCCAACTGTGGAGCTGGGGTGGGCGTCAATGCCCCGTTCAGGCACTGTGTTGACCCTCAATAAATGCTATAGATAATTGGTTGGATGCATGCTATTATAATATCTTACTGCTATATCTTTCATGTCTAGATAATGTCAGTAATGTAGGCCTAAGCATGGTTTAGAAGTTAAGTTAAATCTTGAGACCCTTACTATTAATAACCCGTTATTAATGATTTACCAAACCATCTGTCTGAGTGTAATATGTATTCATGATACTGAAATATATTATGCAGGTATAAAATTAAATGTAGGTATATTGACAATAAAAACAATCGTGAATTTTTTTCCTACCATTTAGCAACACACACAGCAAATAAAATACGAATTGCATTTTGGTCATTATTAAGGCATACTAAATTAACAGTTTAATAAAGCATTGCAAACCTGAGTACTTTTTTTCAAAAATAGCATAATTTGTAAGTGGAAAAACAGCAGTGTTAGGTATGCATCCCAGTCGGAGAACTCACAGGCTTTAGGTCGCCAAAGTTTAGGTTGGTTGCAAGGCAATTAAAAGTGAAATACGGTAATTCGTTATGAAATGTTGTATAATGTATGTAAGATGATATTACGTGGTTAATTAACTGTGATTACTATAGTCTGCTATTTGCTATTTTTTTTTTTTTTGGATAAGCAAGTGGCGACTAATACACGTTTCAATAAATGAAGCAAAAACAGCATTTTGCATTGGGTAATGTTACTTTGTATTTCCATCAACATTTTTATTACTTTTTTTTAAAGAGTGTAACGAAAAAACTTTTTCTTTAAATAATATATAACATATAGTAACAATAATATAATGAAAAACACATTACATTTTAAGCAAGGTATATTTTCTGTGATACTGAATACTGCGTAAGTTTAATAAATTGATTTTAATTTCCTCCATGTTTGGGTATGGACTTCGATCTCTTTCCGGGATATTTGCAATATATTCATTGGTAAATATTTTCTGAAATTATTTAGATAAGACTTTTGCTTTGTTTTTACCTTCTGTAACAAATTTACCATCAGTTTGCAAAAGTGCAATTCCTATCCTATCTCATTTTAGTCCGTTTATGAATGTGTATAGTTTTTATGAGCACCACCATGTTCAGGTTCATCGAACAGCTTACGATGTCATACGCCTTTTTACTCTCAATTTTTATTGTTATCGGGGCCATTATGAATTGAATATTAGGTCTGGTAGCGGATGGATAAAATAATAAAACCGACCTAGTGGTTGTGATGGTTAACCATACTAATGGATCTGAACTCTTGGCTTTCACCGTTACCGGGATGATATGGGTCATTTACAATTCGCCTTTTGTGTACATACTTTCAAGCGATCGCTGGGGCATGCATATAATTGTTGATTATAATTGTAAGCTATTCCTACTATTCACTATTCCCTTTTCATATTTTTTCAGATCACGTAATCATATCAACGAACAGTGAGTTCGGGAGATATGCCTGTCAGGCACTCTGTGGGTCATGTTTGTCACTTCTGCTGGGTTTTGGTGTGCTCAATACATTTAGCGTATTCCAGGATCATATTGACACCGAATTTGAGAATTCATCGTCAACAATTACTTGGTTGTTTTCATTCGCAGCCGCATTTTGGCAAGTTACAGGTAGGAGATATGTACATTTTGCAAGGAAAAAGGACAGATAAATATATTAACTATTGTATTACAAAAAAAAAAACAAAAAAAACCGAGTAACGTTTTGAGTATCTATATTGAAATTGGCTTGAATTCATTGATAACAATAATAGTTATACTGAAGTGCCAGTAAGCGATGTATACAACTTATATAGCATACCTTGGTGTATTTATGCCTAGAGTATGCAATTTGTATTGCCAATCAAGCAAATGAAACTCGTCCAGTCGGTAGTGCAAAAATGTCACTTAAACCAGCGCTGTTCAAGCAATCATTTACAAAAGAGGAGGCAGAAGGTTCTAAGTTTGAATCTCGGTAGGCTTAGGGGGAACTTACAGATTCACCTCTATAACTTAACAAAAATTGTTTTTTTTTGTATCATGATATGTATTTGAGCACTGCTTTTTTTTTTCTATTTGACACGTAGCATAATTTGACTTTGTAATATTTAAGGTTAGCTTGTTTGCTTTAAAACATGTTGAGATATGTGATAGCTCATTATTTAGCATTTCAAATGCTCGGTATATATCACGGTGGTTTACAAACGCATTGGCGTCATCAGGAAATCTGTCTCTTATACACATCTAGATGTGTATAAGAGACAGATATATATGTGTGTGTGTGTGTGTATAATATTCAATTAAGTTCATATATGCTTAATTAAAAATTGTTTAATCTCAATATATATAATATATATATATATATATATATATATATATATATATTCAATAAATTAATCTACATCATTTCTGATCCACTTCACTGCCAGGGCAAGAGGATTGTTTTCCAAATCTTTTCCAACAGGTCATGAAACAGCTTAGTATTCTTTGAATTAATTCAAGGCTATTTCCTTCTTTTAAGTATACATTTACGTAAGCTTTGTACCACAGTACGATGCACTACAAATACCTTCGAAACATAACTTAAAGTTTGTTCAACTATTTTGTACACGATTTTAGATGACTTCATGAATACGTTTTAGATTTACTTCACTACAAAGAACCGAAATGTTCTCAGTAGGTGAATTTATATACGTTTCTCGTAGAATGGACTTCATAAAATTACAAAATTTTAAGGCTTAGAGTTGAAATATTGAATCCAATCTTGCTATCCACACTGTTAAATCCTTTGATGAAATCTATAAAGATGTCCTCACTTTACGGAGCGAATGTCTTTATGAAACCTTGCATACTGAGAAAATTTTAAGCCAATCGTAATGAAACAATTCATGTTTTAACAATAGAGAATTTAAAGCTTAAAATACCTTGCCGACAAACAAAGTAAACATTATAAGAGATATCGTAAACAAAAACGGAAAAATACCGAGACTGGACGATTTAATCAAGCGGTATAATTTCTTTCCATAATGCGAATTTATTCGGCGAAGCAAAACCATTTTCCCGTACGCATGCGCAGTGTATTTTGATGTGCGAGTCGTTTACCAGATTGTTCGTTTATTTGTAATTTTTTTATTTTTCTTTCTTGGTCACTTCTTTTTATACATGTTACACTTTAACAGATATTCTTCAGGTTACATCAGTAAACTCGTAAGCAATGCCGTAGCCAGCTATTGGCACAGTTGGGACAGTTCCACGCAATTTTTTAATGGGTCCACAAAGAATTGGTCCACATTTTTAAAATGGGTCCAGATTTCTCAAATTTAGATTTAAATGGGTAAAATTTAAGAAAATGGGTCCAGATTTTTCATATTTGTGCTTAAAATGGGTCCACATTGTTTGAATTTGGGCGTAAAGTGAGTCCACCCTGATATTGTCCCGCACTGTTTGAAAATCCTGGCTACGGCATTGCTCGTAAATTGTCATTTTCAACAGTTTTTAATATCCTCAATTACTTTTATTTGTTTTCTACTTCTACTGTATGCATGCCCTCTAAGGCAATGCTTGTGGTTACCCTTCTTTATCATAAAAAAAAATCCTGAATACTCCTTCCATCTTCAGCAGGGGTTATCCAAATAAAAGTATGGGTAGGTGCCTGCGACGTGTGAAGCACAGAACGGAATTTTTCAACCATGTATTCTCTTGCATAGCGTAGATAGCTCCTTTTTCTTCAGACAGATTTACTCTTTTTTTTCTCTTCGATAAGTTTTGTAAAATGTTTTTCGATGGAGGTGCCGTTTACTTCACTCAGATACAATGAATTCCTAATTTTCAATTTCTTTATACTGGGAAGATCTTTATTCGTCTTATGTATTTGGTCAAATTTGCCTTGCTCTAGTAATTCTTTAATTTTCTTGCATTGTTGTTCTCACAATTGCGCTTATTAGTCGGTTGTCAACACTTCTTTGTGTATAATGAACTGTCGTGACAGGTACAGCAAGACTTGATTCAGGAACATATCTGAAGTGATATTTGGACAAAAAATTATTATACTTATTTCATAATAGCAAAAGATCTGAGTTACGTTCCTAGGTGAAGGTGTTTGAGGCACATTTTGAAAAGCTATTTTCTCAGAATTGACATGAAAACCAACAAATTATCAGTTGTTTATTTCTAGAGGCGATTGAAGTATGTTCGTGGTGCCGCGCTACTGATTGTCGGTGCCCGTTCGAACGGATCGTTAGTAAAAACGATTTTTTTTCGCGCGCGTCGTGGCGTTGCGTTCTTCATAGAATCGCGTCGGCCGACGACCGTCGAGTGCAGTCAGTGGCGTAACAGGTGGGGCAGGGGGCAGAGTTCCTCCCCTGACGGTTTTTACCGGGCTGACCAAGCCGTCATACCGGGCTGAGTAATAAGAGAAAAGAAAGAGGGGAGAGGCAGGGAAAAAGAAAGAAGGGGAAAAGAAAAGGAAAGGGAAAGGAAAAGAAAAGGAAGGGGAAAGGAAAAGAAAAAGAGAAGAGAAAAATAAAGACAAGAATAAAAAGGAAGATGATATAATGACCAGACCCACAACACCATGCAACCACTTCTCCACTTCAAAAAATGTCCATAGCTCCTTTGATCTAAGCCGCCAGATATTCTCCGCAGTGGCGTAACCACCGGAGGACAAGGGAAAAATATCCATCTGTGGAAAATCTTTCCCCACCCTTTGAAGATGCCCTTTTCACCCCCTGAAAGTGCATAAAAATCTCCGATTTCGCGCGCTTCGCGCACATGTCTTCGTAAAGATAGGCCAATTTCCTCTAAAAATTGCACATTTTAGGGAGTTTTGATCAATTCTGACGAAATTAGAATTAAAAACACACATTTTTTTGCGCGCTTTTTTAGGGTTAGCATTTTAAGTTATTTAAACACATAATAGTCCTAAACTCAAGAAAATTTAAGGTAGATCGTTGTACCTAAAAAAGAAGGATGGGCCTCAATGTGTAATGATAATGAAAGAATATCTTTGTAATAAATAAAGACATAATGAAAATGCAGTTTCAAAAAAACGTGTGTGGCCATATAAAACATAAGCCCTAAACTAAAAAAAAAAAAAAAAAAGAATTTTGCGCGCTTCGCGCGCATTTTTGGGCGTAAGAACTTGTGCTTGTCCTCCTTTGCCGTCTAAGTTAATTGAACACATAATAGTCCCAACTCAAATAGGAAGAACATTTAAGACACATCGTTTTACCTAAAAGAAGGGCCTCAATGTGTATAGATGGTGAAAGAATGTGT